ACGGAATTCAGAAGCCTATCAGAGAAATTTAACAAAGAGATTGAAATAATTTAAAAAAATCAAGCAGAAATTCTGGAGCTGAAAAATTCAATTGACAAAGTGAGAAATGTATCAGAGTCTCTCAAAAGAAGAATTGATCAAGCAAAAGAAGGAATTAGTGAGTTAGAAGATAGGCTATTTGAAAATACAAAGTCAGAAGAAAAAATTTAAAAAGAATAAAAAAGAATGAAGCACAATTCACAATTGCAAAGATGTGGAAATAACTCAAGTGCCCATCAATACATAAGTAGATTAATAATATGCCATATATGTGCATCATGGACTTCTACTCAGCCACAAAAAACAATGGTGATCTAGCACCTCCTATATTATCCTGGATAGAGCTGGAGCCCATTCTACTAAGTGAAGTGTCACAGAATGGAAAAACAAGCGACACATGTACTCACCATCAAATTAATATTAACTGATCAGCACTTATGTGCACATATAGTAGTAACATTCATTGGGTGTCGGGAAAGTGGCAGGGGGAGGTGGGGATGGGTATATTCACACCTAATGGTGTGTTGCACAGCGTCTGGGGGATGGACATGCTTGAAGTTCTGACCCGGGTGGGGCAAAGACAATATATGTAAGCTAAACATTTGTACCCCCTTAATATGCTAAAATAAAAAAACAGTATAAATCATCTAGACCTAACAGACATCTATAGAAATCTCTACCTAAATATTATATTTTTGATATTCTTATCAAGTACACATGGAACATTCTCTAAAACAGACATAGGTTATAGAACAAGAAAAAGATTCAAAAACTTTAAAAAGACTGAAAATCATACAAAGTATGTTTGCTGACTACAATGGAATAAAGTTAGAAATAAATATTAAATAGCAACAAGGAATTTGGAAAATTCAAAAACGCATATAAATTAAGTATTATTCCTAAATAATGAATGGGTCAAACAAGAAATAACAAGAGAAGTCAGAAAATACTTTGAGATGGCGGCAGTTGAAAATATAACAGACTGGAATTTATGGGATACAGTGAAAGCAGTCCTCAGAGGGAAATTTATAGCTGTAAACCTTTACTTATAAAAGAAAAACAATTTCAAATCAACAACCTAGACTTCCATCTTAGCAACGAAAATAAGAAGAGCGAGCTAAGCCCAAACAAGAAGAAGAAAATGAAATAATAAAGATTAGAGAGGAAATAAATGAAATAGACAACATAAAACAACAGAAAAAAATCACTGAAACCAAAATTAGTTTTTTAAAAAATCAGCAAAACTGGAAAACCTTCATCTAGATTCACCAAAAATAAAAAATAAAAAAATAGGAGAAGGGATTCAAATTGCTAAAATAAGACATGAAAGAGGAGAAGGGAGACCCTTACAGAAATAAAAATCAGTAAATAAATAACTTGGATAAAATGAACAAATTCTTAGGAAGTCACAAATTACCAAACCATCTCAAGAACAAATAGAAAATGTGTATAGACCTATGACGAGAAAAGAGTTTGAATTAGTAATTAAAAAAAAAATCCCATGAAGGAAAGCACAGGCCCAAATAGCTCCAACTAGAGCATTCCATCAAGCGTTTAATCACATGGCAGAAATACTCTCCAGGGATTAGGGGGATGGGGTGGTAAATCCGCAACTAAAAGACACGGGGAGCACTGTAGGGGGGGAAGGGCATGTCTTTAACCCAACTTGGGTGAGACAAAGACATAAAGTGTAACCATAATGTTTGTACCCTCACAATACCCTGAAATAAAAAAAAAGAAAGAAAAATTAATATTAATCCTCAGAAAGTCTTCCAATCAGTAGAAAAGGAAGGAAAACTTCCCAGTTCATTCTATGAGGCTAGTTTTACCCTAATACCAAAACCAAAAAACCACAAGTAAAGAAAGCTACAGATCAATATCACTTATGAATATAGAAGGAAAAATTCTCAACAAAATGTTAACAAAATAAATACAGTAACATATACAAATAATTATATAACATGAGCAAGTGGGCTTTATCCCAAGGGTGCAAGGTTATTGTAACATTTGAAAACCATTTAATGTAATATGCCATATTAATAGAATAAAGGACAAAAACCTTATGATCATCTCAATAGGCATAGAAAAAGCATCTGACAATTTCCAGCACACTTTCATGATTTAAAAAAAGAAACCTCTATAAACTAAGAATAGATGAAAACTTCCCAATTTGATAAAGATATCTATGAAAAGTTCACAGCTAGCATCACATTTAAAGGTTAAAGAGTAAATGTTTGCCCCTAAGATCAGGAAAATGACAAGAGTATCCATCCTTGCCACTTTTATTTCACATTGTACTGGAGGTCCTAGGGCAATTAGGCAAGAAAAAGAAAGAAAATGCATCCAAATTTGAAATGAAGATGTCAAACTATCACTATGTGCAAATGACAAGATCTTGTATATTGAAATTTTAAAGAAATCCAATTAAAAAACTATTAAAACTAATAAATGAGTACAGCAAGGTTAAAGAATGCAAGGTCAATACAAAAAAATCAGTTGTAATCCTAGACACTTGCAATCAACAATCTGAAAATGAAAATAAAACAATTCTACTTATAATAGCATCAAAAATATAATATTTAGCAATAAATCTGTAAAAGAAGTATAAAACATCCAATAAAAACTACAAAATATTGTTTTAAGAAATTAAAGAGGATCTAAATGGAAAGGGATGCCATGCTAATGGGTCAGAAGACTTAATATTGTTAATATGGTAACACTACTCAAAGTGTACTGCATATTCAATGACATTCTTATAAAAATTCCAAAAGGATTTTCTGCTGAAATTGACAAACTCATCCTAAAATTCATACGGAAAAGCAAGGGACCAAAAATAGCCAAAACAATCACGGAAAGATGGACAGTTTGAAAAACTCCCACTCCTGATTTTGAAACTTACTAAAAAGCTATTGTAATCAAGACAGTGTGGCACTGGCATAAAGATAGGCAAATAGACTAATGGAATAAAATTGACAGTCTATGAATTTACTCTTACATTACTGGTCATTTGATTATAGATAAGGTTGTCAAGTCAATTTAATGGGGAAAAAATAGTGCATTCTACAAATGATGCTGGGACAACTGGCTATCCCTTTGCACAAGAATGAATTTGGACCCTATTTCATATCATATAAAAATTAAATCAAAACGGATCATATATCTCCATATAATAGATAAATGATAAAATTCTTAGAAGTAGGCCGGGTGTGGTGGCTCACGCCTGTAATCCTAGCACTCTGGGAGGCCGAGGCGGGTGGATTGTTTGAGCTCAGGAGTTCAAGACCAGCCTGAGCAAGAGCGAGACCCCGCCTCTACTAAAATTAGAAAGAAATTAATCGGCCAACTAAAAATATATAGAAAAAAAATTAGCCGGGCATGGTGACTCATGCCTGTAGTCCCAGCTACTCGGGAGGCTGAAGCAGAAGGATTGCTTGAGCCCAGGAGTTTGTGAGGTTGCTGTGAGCTAGGCTGACGCCACGGCACTCGCTCTAGCCCAGGCAAAAAGAGTGAGACTCTGTCTCAAAAAAAAAAAAAAAATTCTTAGAAGTAAACATGGGTTTAAATATTTATAACCTAGACTTAGGCAATAGTTGCTTACATATGATACCAAAAGCCGAGCAAGAAAAGAAAAAAGTGGATGAATCTGACTTTTTAAAAATTAAAAACTTATGCTACAAATGGTACTATCAAGATAGTGAAAAGATAACCCATGGAGTGGGAGGAAATATTTGCAAATCATATCTCTGATAAGGAACTTGTATCAGAATATATAAAGTTCACTTGCAATTCAACAATAAAAATAATCCAATTTAAAAAATATTAATAGAAAAAAATTTTGAATAGACATTTCTCCAAATAAGACACATGAATGGCCAATAAGCACATGAAAGAATGCTAAACCGCCTTAGTTATTAGGGAAATACAAATCAAAAGTACAATTCGATACCGCATCCCACCACCTAGGATGACTATAATCCAAGAGATGAACGATAACAAGTGGTGGCGAGGATGGGGAGAAATTGGAACTCTCATACACTGCTGGTGGGAATATACAATGGTGCAGCTGCTTTGGAAAACGGTATGGCTGTTCCTCAAAATGTTAAACATAGAGTTACCAGGTGACCCATAAATTCCACTTCTAGATATGTGTTCAAAAGAAATGCATACATATAACATACAAATTTGTACACAGATGTTCATAGTAGCATTATTCATAATAACCCAAAATTGAAAACAACCCAAATGTCTGTCAACTAATGAATAGATAAAATGTCGCATATATATATAAAATGGGATATTATTTCGCAACAAAAATGAATGACGTCCTGACACATGCTAAATCATGGGTGCATCGTGAAAACATTATGCAAAATGAAAGAATCTAGTCACAAAACACTACATATTATATGATTCCATTTATATGAAATATAAAAAATAGACTTTTTCTAAAACTATTCATATTTACATAGTTACTTTATATTTTTACTAATTTGCTGAAATGTAAGCTATGGTCAGTCATATCACTACCATGAGGGGAGATCCTGATTAAGAATGACATATTCACAGGAAAGAGCAGAGTCAAGATGTTAAAGACAGATATATTTTGAGTACACAAATCCATCTGGATGCCAAGCAACTCCATCTAAATGAATTAACTAATTCCCAGTTTAAGTTTTTCTCTCTCACATGCAACTGAAAGTGTTATAACTAATGTGGTTGGTTAAACAACTAATTATTTGGTTTTCACTTTCACAGTATTTAATATATTGTAAATACAGGGAAAGCGTGCTACAGGATTTTATTGACCATAATAGTGATGTTCTTTTGTGCATATTTATTCTTTTGCTGGCTAGAATGACTAGCCAGCAGAAAACTGTCTAGAGATGTATCAATTAAATATGCAATACTTTGGATTATCTAATAACCATAATGATATTCAAATTTCATTTAAAATACATTACTTTTTAGTAGTAATAGTAGTCCTTCCACCACTTGAGGGTTGGTTATGAGATGAATATATTTCTTGTCTCAACTTTGAGAGTTCCTTATAAATAAAAGACAACATAATCATTTGACAGAAAGTAGAAACATGAAGTAACAGGCATGTTCGATAGTTTACCAAAGTCACTAAGAATAATTACCCCCCCTTACTTTTTTAGACTTGAGGTAAGAATGTTCTAATCCCACTTGTTGAGTATCATATAGTGTTGCTTCGCAGTACCTAACAAGTTATATCATATGCCTAGGTAGGAACCCACTAACTGATATAGTGTATCTATACATAGGGGATAACTTGAGATCGAATGGGCATGTTTCTCAAGATGAAGATGTGAAAATTTTTGTCCTAAACAGCTTGAAAAGGATAGCCACAACAGAAAAGTATTGAAACTTCAATATGGAAGCAGATATAGATTCCTAACAGAAAGTCCATCACTGAAAGTCACTACAAGCACCATTTGTTCAATAATAGCAATACAATATTATTAGCCATCATTTTTGGTAATTTCTTCAGTGCCTATTTAATGCCAGATACTGGGCTACATGCTTTAGATACAGGGTGAAATATAACACAGTACTTTGATGAAGCAGCTTACAATTCACTAAGGAGCTCACAGTCTTATTGGGAGTTTCACTGATAATGAGATATAAAATCAATGTCTT